AGCTAATTCAAACAAGGAGATTTTCTTGTAGCATCAGCTGCAGATTCTGCAGGCAGCCACCCTACTGTGAGGACCTAGGGTTATGTATCATTCTCAGGTGGAGTAAGTTACTCTGTTCTGACGCTTCTCAATTTTTATTTGCGTATGGCAGCTAAAAAGGGTAGGAAATGCCAGCAGGAACCTAGAGGAGCATCTTAAATCTTTGCCAAGTAAAGATAAATCGCTCTCTGTGGATGTGTGTTACTCGCACTTCCATCCGTGGCTGGTCACTGGGAAAGTGTGAGTAGCAGCAGGATTTTCTGATTAACACCCTGTGTTTGGTGAGGTTTAGCTGCTCAGCTGAGGTGTGAATACACAGCGTGCACTGTAACTTCTTGGGAGACAGGTGACGAGTTTCAGACTGCTGCGTGAAGTTTTATTTTCCCAATGGAGGAGCCTGTTGTTCTGCTACAAGTACTGACAGGCCAAGAGCCTTCTCATGTACAAACCCATCTTTACTGTCCTCTGCTGAGCCCAAGTCACCACCAGACCCTTCCAGGGCAAGAATGATGAGGAGTGTGAGGCTGGCTGTGTCTGGGCCTTTCTTGCCCACCTGATGCTCAATACCTGGTTTTCCTGGTCCCTTCCTGCTTGACCAGAGTCCAGCAGCAATTTTGTGGCAGCTCAGTGACAGCAGGCACAGACTAAAGGAGTGATGTAAAGATCTGTGTATTAGTGCAGTGCACAGCCCTCCTGTTTGGAGTGAGTAGACTCTGGCTGCAGTGGTTCCTGCCTGTGGTATGAATCTGATGATTGGAAACAGTCGTGCTGCCTGGTGGCAGCAGGGGGGACCTCGCTAGCACTATGGCCTGTTCTGGGATCCCTGTATACTGACGTTGAAGAGGTCACTCTAAAATTACTTTGGACATTTAGAGTTAAGGCTGGAGCAAATCCATTTTGTCAGACTCACTGCCTTCAATAAAATGCAGTTCCCCACAAATGCTAGCTTTAATCTAGTGTTTTTGTCAAGCATATACAAACTTGCATTTAATTTACCCGCTGTCCTGCTGCTTGTTGTGCTTATGAAGCATTTTATTGTTGCTGTTGTCATTCTAAGTTGATTGGTAAATCTGTACCAAATACTTCCCAGTGATGGAAAAAGAAACATTGAAATGGTAATAATGAAAGAGTCTGAAAGATCCTGATGTGAGCTGGGCAAAAATGAAAACCAATCAGCCTTGATTAAACCTTTCAGATAGGAATTTGGGAACATCGTATCAGGATAAATTGTGTGTGTTCTAGTAACTCTGTCAGCCACGATTGACGCTTCTGCCAATAAGAAACTGTTAGGAACAAATGCATTAAAACTACTGATGTCTAATAAGTGAAATAAATTAGTATGACTAAGGTGTTACCATCCACCCCATAGCTGAACGATGCTTTGAGATGTTTTGCCTGGTAAGGCCCAGCAGCCATGGGCTCACTGCTCAATCTTGTCTTGGTCTGTGGGCAAAGGAAAGGCTTCTTCTGCATCCAGACTTGTGAAGCCACTATTTTCCATGGAGATTATTTTTACTCTTCTAAAAATACATTGCTGACACGAGCACCAGAGTTTCTAACCAGATCGTTCTCTCAAAGCCTCTGGGTCATTAACTCAAAAACTGGCTCACAATAAAAAGCTTTTTGACCTTAAAGAAGGTCCAAGAATAGGCTGGAATTTTGTTTAACTTGCTCATAGTTTCTGCTTTGGCTTCTTGAATGCAACCCATTTTTTCTGCTTTTTAGTGAGGTATCACTGCTAGAAAGCTGCTGAGTGACCCTGACTTTATGTGAGCAGAAGCTGCTCCTAGACCAGGTGTTTGGGGCTGTTTGCTAACTCAGCGTGTCTGCTATTCCTGTTGGAGACCCAGGGTCTGCTCATGTGCCTCACTGCATCTCCTGGGCTGTCATGGGACATCCTTCATTAGCTGTGGGTGCCAGCTGGCATTGATCCCTTTCTGACGTAAAGTGAACGCTTAATATGTGAAAGCTAAGGTGGTTGAGGGAGAGATGCAGGTAAGAAGATGGATTTTTTTCATTACTTTACAGATTTTTAGAAGCACTGCTCTCCCTCCTCCAATCCCAAGAAAACAGAGATCAATTTTTCTACATTCCATAAAACTTGGACCAGAAAATAGATTATTTTTAGCTTATTCCCTGGGTACTGTGGAGGCTTCAGTCTTTGGAGTCACTTTGTTCCCTGCTGTAGCAGATAGAGGATTTATACAAGCTCCAGAGGGGGAAAAAAAGGAGAAAGAAGAGAGAGAGATTTCAGAACAAGCCTGTCTTTCTTTTCTTGCCTTCTTTTTTCCCCTTTCTTTCTTCATTTACTGCTGGGCTGCTCCTACGTTTGAAAAGTTTTCCTTCACTTTGGCTCTTCCTCAGCATGAGTAACTTGCTTGAAATACTGTGAGCAGAGGAGGGAGGTTGGAGTTAATTTTAGGATGGGGAAATAAGGCAAAGGGAATAAGAGCCTGGGAGAACAAGCAGCAGAGCTGGTCCCTAGGTAGCACAAGAGGCCAGGCTGTAGCCGCAGGGTTAGACACCGAGACAGGCAAATGGTTGTGGGTGAGATGTGCAGATGGAGGAGCTGGAGATTTCTGGCTTTCAGGAAAAAGCCACAGCCGAGCTGAGTGAGAGTCATGAGCTGTGAGGGTGAAGTTTGGGAGTCATTAGAGAGAATAAAAATGCCCGTCAGAAGAAGATGGCACTTGTGGCAGCAACTTCTGAAGATGAGAGTGTTGTTTTCTAAAATGAAGCTGATTTCATTTGTTGCAGATGAGCTCCATCCCAAACCCTGGCTTGTCTTTTTTCCTTGAAACAGCATTAAACATTAAAGGCCCAGGTCCAGTCTGTGTCTTTGCTCTGTCTGTCCAGCATTTGAATGGTCAGAAATAATTCTCAGGGCAGGGCACAGTGTGATGAGCTTATTTTCCCATCTCTGCACATAAGTAAGCGGGTTCTTCTTTCAAACTTGTAGGTGTTGGGTGTGGAATTCATTATCCTCATGACCTTCATACAGAGTCCAAACCAGAAAGACGGCAACCTCAATGGGGATGTTTGGGTTGTTAACTGGCATAGACCTGTTTCCTTAAGTCGGGAATAAAACACTGCGTGTACAGACCTCTGACAAACAAAACTGGACCCTGGCGTGAGGAAATGTGCTGTAGGCATTAATAATGGAGCAGTGTTGGGAGTTATAGGCAGTGTGGCATTTGTGTTCACCCAACAATGTCTCACTTGTGCTTGGTGTTTTAATTTGCTCAGGTGGATTTGCAGCTGCAGTCACCACGCCTCTGGACGTAGTGAAGACGAGAATTATGTTGGCAAAGGTAAGAGCAAAGGAGCCAGCAGTAACACAGGTGAATGGCTTGGGTAGGCCAGAGTTTCTCTATGGTCATTACAGCATGAAATCCAGCAGCTATTAATAATGGTTTCTGCTCTTGTCGTCGAAGGCAGGATTAGATGTGAACAGGTACTGCATGCAGAACTAATGAAATGGCTGTGTGCCTTTCCTCGAATTGCTCATCTGGTCCTTTCCCAGAGGAGCTGTCTGAAGGTCTTGTGCTTGTGCCAGGCCCCCAGAGTCTCATGCAGTGGCTTTAGAAGAAAACCCTTGCAGAGCCAGATGCTCAGAGTTAAACTTTATCAGGGACTTATTCCTCTGCTGTTTTGGGAATTGTTGGGCTTGAGAGTGAATGCGTGTGTGTAGCATTCCCATCCTCATCTGGCTGACCCAGAGCAGAGCTAAGCAGCCACACTGGGTGTTCATAAAGCCTTGCCCTGCCCTGAAAGGAGCCGTGGTGTTGGCGAAGGTCAGGCATCCTGAATTTCTGTGGGTGGTTTTTGCCCTACTGCTCACATCCCTCAGTGTTTCTGGTTGGTGACGTGGACCTCCCCACCCGAGTCACACACATCCGTGCCCACCGTGTTGCTGTGTTGTGTATCTCACTGCTGGGTGTTGTGCCTGCTGCAGCTTCTTTGCCTTCGGATAGCGTTGGTGATAAAAATGTGAGAACTGGCCTTCGTTTCTGGCTGCTGCTGTCCTGGGCAACCAGGTCAGCACTGGTAAGGGAATGATGGTGCTTTGGGATGTTCTGAGACCATTCAAACAGCATCTTTCCATTAGTCATCTCACACTAACTAGATCACACACGTAATTGAATTATCTGTAGTCCTGCTGTTCTCTGTTTTGCACTCAAGGCAATTTTCACATGTAATGCACTACTAGTGTTATTTTCTAAGTAAATCTGGAGGCTGCTGTCCTCTTGCAGTGAGCTGTAAAGTCGCTTGCTGGTGCTTTGAGGGTGTTTTTATTAACATCTTACTCCAGCAGCAACTGCTGGCTGTAGAGCTGAGTGCAGTGCAGGAGGGATTGGAGGCCCAGCTCTGTGACACTGGAGCGATCATCATTTTCTTCTTCTGTGCCTCGATTTCCCTTTCTCCCTTTGCCTCAGAAGACAAGGAGCTTTTTCCCGTGCCTGGCTAAGAAGGTCATTAGGATGCCTGTAATTGCTGCAGAGTAGCACTAACCAGGGACAGGGAGCTGGGCAAATGACTGAACCTCTCTGCCAGCAGTTTCCAACCTCTCTCTTTCTGTGGTACAGGCTGGTTCCAGCAACGCTAGTGGGAACGTCCTGGCTGCCCTCGGCGGCATCTGGAGGACAGAAGGCCTGACAGGGTAAGGACATGGTGGAGAAGCATGTTTCATATTGTTTCTCTGTGCTGGGGAGTGGGAGAGGATGGGATGATCTGCTCATATTTAAATCCCATCATACAGAAGGTTGTTAATTGCTGTACACGTGGCCAGGGAGCAGCTCTCAGGTAGGTGGGAACAAGAAAGTCCCTCCGGGGAGCTCTGGTCCTCCTTTAGCACTGGCTGCGAGCAATGGTCAGGGAAGAGCACAGGAACGGGGCGTTACTGGGGATTTATCTGTGGAGCCATCTCCAAGCTTAGCTCCAGGCTTTGGAGATGAGGGTGACTTTGTGTTTAATGAACTTTTCTCCATGAGTGTGTGCATTTGTGTTTCGTATCCGCTTAAACTTTGGGCACGCACATCGTCTTGTGGAGAATCACCCCTCCTGAGATGTCAGGAGAGGCCAGCACAGGAGCCATGTATCCCTTATGGACAGTCTGTTCCTCCTCCTGGTGATTTCCTAATTTTAAACCACCACCAAGGTCTCCTTGGTCCCCTTACATTCGCTGTTCTCGCTGTGAAGGGTGATGGGAGCGTGTGGCGTTGAAGCAGAAGGGAGGGAGCCGGGTGCCCCCTGATGTGGCCTTTGAGCCTCCTGTCAGCTCTGGATCTCTCCAGTGAGGCACTTGTGGCAAAAAAGTGAGTTTTCTGAGAGAGGTTTCAGTGCGGAGAGCTCAATATGAGCAGCACAGAGCGGCTCTGGCTGCTTTCCTCCCGTGACCGGGGCACAGAAACGCTCTGGGCTTTCTCCTGTGGCTGTGCAGCCTGGGGCAATGTCCATCTGGTCTCCTGGGTGCCTAGCTTTACCCTTTCCCAAAACGGAGAGTTGATCTTCTGACATTTCAGTGTTGTGAACAAAAAGTCCTCTGCTAGCGTTTGTAGAGCATTTGGAGGTGTTATAGGCTTATAAATTATTATTGATTTTAGACACCTGTGTCATTTACACCACCTTTTTGAGTGAGTTATACCAGTTATTGGCTGCTCATAGTGACTCTATGTCTTAAAAAACTCCTCCCGTCCATGACAAGGGCTTGTGTCCCACCTGCTCCTGGCATTAAAGAGAAACGGAGGATTTTTGGAAGCTTTACGTGGGGCTTTCCACTGCAATTTCACACAGGTTTTTAATCTGCTTGATGTGGCTGATATTTTCAGGATGCTGCTTTAACAGTTGCAAACCCTTGCTGGAAGCAGCGTGCGTATCGCAGCTTTGCAGATGATAGTTTTCTCTTAACATCCGATCTCTGCTCGCCCACCTCATAAAAGTTCAATCCTCTTGTTGCACATGTGGGAAATAACTCAAAACAAATTGCAGGAAGTTCCTGAACACCGAGTCCAGGAATAGGTCCAGCTGCACCCTCCGGCAGCGCTCAGAGATGGGTGTCTCAGGTTTGGGACGATGTGGATACCCACGGTCGATGTGTTTTGGGTCCTTCATGGCATCTGCTGCTTGTGGCAGTTGAGCTCTGAGGGTGTGGAGAGGCCTGGGTTTGGCTGGGGAAACAGCAGAACATAAATATCCATGTTTGTGTGCTTTTCAGGGTGTTTCAGCAGTGCCCTTTTCTAAACAGCCCCAAATTCAACTCTGCCTAAAGATAGGACTCGTGGACCAGGACCAAAGGGAACACAGTTCAATGGAAATCAAAACAATAAGTGATCTGGAGAAAAAGTAACGTGTAAAGGGGGCCAAGCTGCGTCAGCCACAAGGAAAGGGAAGAAAGTCTTGGGAAAAATAAACGCAGAGGCTGCCATGCCTGCTGCCAATTATAAATCTATTAATCAGAAACAATAAAAACGTCGGGCTTTTTTGGCCAGTTGCAACACACAATGATTTACAGCTCCTCTAATAAATCTCGTACTTGAGAAGGAGGAATTCTGAGGGCAGCAAAACACGTTGCTTATTGCCACCTTATTAAAACCAGAGCGCGGGGCTCAGCTTCCTGGTCTGCACCTAGGAAATCCTTCACGCCATGAGATAGCACATCCCTCGCTGCCTGGGAACAGCCAGGCCTGTGCTGAGAGGTGCCATAGGGATGGGGTGAGCACATCCCTGCACTTTGCTCTTGCCAAAAGGGTTGATGAGCCACTCACATAAAAGCAGGTTTATGTGGTGTTTAAAATGTGTTGAGGCTTCACACGAGGGGAAGGCTGTGGACGTTGTCTACC